TCCCCTCCATGACCAACCTGTTTTATATGCAGGGGTCTTGTTAATTATTTTTGAAGGAGGTAATTTGAATTTTATAGGAGGTACCATCACTGCGAGGGAGCGAAGCGACCGAGGGGGTGAGGGTGTGGGAGGGGGGTGTCCCCCCTCCCACGGTAGGGACCTTTTGGGATTTTCCACTTGAAATCGTGCAATCTGGTGGGCAGGTCCAAGCTATTGTCCCCTCTGGGAGTCAAATTTCATCTTTATATATATTTAACAAACTATACATCATTTTAAAGCTGAAACTATGAATTTTATGAATCTGATAAAAAAAAAAAAAAATCATCAAAATACGAAGAATGCCAAGGTCACGAACTTTGATTTGTGTTAATTAGCGTGACGTACGGGACATTACATTTTTATTTTTGTATCTCATTTGAATTATTTTTTCAAAATTAAATATTTTAGGACATGTAGACCATCATACTAGAAAATAGGAAAAAAATATAAAAACTTTAAAAATTAATTAATTATGCAAATGAGGTAGGTTCCAAAGTGTGATGTCCTGTACGTCACAATTTGACATTAATTTGTTTAATTTTAATTATGAAAATAATTTTTTTTTTAAAAGATATTCTAGGAAGTTCTAATTTAGATGAATACCTAACAAAAAATAGGTTTAACAAAAATTACGAAAATTCTGTGTTGATTACATAATCAAATTAAGAAATGTGACGTACGGGACAAGTGTGTGACGTACGGGACAACCCCATATAAAACCAATGCAAGATGTGAAAAAAGGAAATGACCAAAAGGAGAATATATATGTGTTAGGAAACTTGTTGTATACAGGGATATGAACATTCCAACTGGGTCCCTTCTAGGAATTTACTTGTACTGTTGTTGTTGTTGTTACTGTTTTAGTCTTAAAGGCATGTGTCATTCAATTATGAATATTTATTGATGTAATTAGTCTTCAAGCCAGACCCCTGGTATTATCAACTTTGGTATTTTGCCAGTTGATGTCCCCAACATTGGCAGAATGCTAAATATGTAAATCATAATAGTACATGTACATGTTATGGAGCCAGCTCAGGAATTTTGATCTCCTAAAAACTAAATCATAACTTTTAAGGAAGGATAGCCTCTCTCACTCTCACCCACTTAAGATTTTCATCACTTTTACATCCATGCATTTTTGTTGAATTACGCTTTAATCTTTTGAATTGTTGAAAAGGTCACACAAACCTTTAGGGTTTTAATTTATTACATCTGGTGGTGTTAATAAGATGTCTTTAATCAATACAAAATACATTCAAGATTTATATTTTTGTATCCATCTTTCACAAACATGTACATGTACATTAATGTACCGGTACATTGAAATTCTTGAATATATGACAGCAACATATACATGTACATGTAAATCTGTGATAAAAAGATTAAAATAAGACAATATGTTCAGCATTATCTTTGAATTCCTTCAAAATTCTATGATATTACTATCAAGTAATTCAAACAAGCTATGAAGAAAAGATTTTATATTTGTATTTTGTAATGTACTGTATCTTTGTTCACAAAATATGATGTGCCGAGTGTGCCCCTGTGTTTCAAACAAGTTTTAATAAAAGTTTTCAAGTCAAGGCAGCCCCCAAGAAAGCGAAGAAGCCAGTAAAAAAAAACGACTGAGAAGAAAGAGAAGAAGAAGACTTAGTTCATCTTCTTCATTAATTATTATTTTAAAACATTTACATGTACATGTAGCACTGTTGAATGGAATGGATGAAAGAAATGAGAAAAGAAGCATGACTGCACATGATAGATGGGTAAATGGAATAAAAATGGTAATATAGTGTGTGTGTATGAATGTAATTTAACTTGTTTTCTTTATTAAAGTAATATTTGTATTGATTTACCTCATAAATTAACACAGAGGATATTGAGTGATGGTCAGAGGATCTAATTGGGTTCTAAAACACTCTAATTGTCACTGATTTAAGTTAAAATTGTTCATATTTAACAAATTTTGACGATAATTCTTCATTTCAATGCATTTTTCCATAGGGAAAAGTTGTCCCATACGTCACGTGTCCCGTACGTCACATACACACATTTATGTTTTGGTATATTACATAACAACGGAAGGTCAGAAAAATATGGTTGTAGTTGTGATTAATGCTTGATTCCATAATGAATTAAGATATCATTACCATAAATCTCATAACTTAATAAATTCAGAGAATTTTTACGACGAACTTATTTTTGAAAAAGTCAGAAATTCTCTGGTCCCGTACGTCACGCAGCACATTAATTACATTATAAATTAATTTATGAATTGGTCAGAACTAAAACTTTCCATAAATGAACTAGCCCATAATAGCCACAGACTCATACCAAAAGATAGCCATATAAATAATTTCATCCATTGTTATTTCTTGTTTAAAGTCTCTGAATGTCCCGTACGTCACAATCCAAATAGCTTGGACCTGCCCTGGTGCATACCTAAGAAGAAAATTTGTAGTTATCTTTCCTACCTTGTATTACACATATATTGTAATAAACACACATATTGTTTATGTTTAATATTACATGAACAATCATAACTCATAAGAAAAGTTATTAAGTTGATAATTATTTATCACTTTGTACCATGACATTGTAATTTTTAATTAAACTGAGATGATGCACCATACTCAATCTTTCTACATCATGATTTGTTGAATACATGTACAGTATTTAAATAATGCGCAGCAGAGGCTAGATTTTGATTTTTTTTTTTTACTTGTGACTTTTATTTGGCTCCCCATATGAATTCTCATTTAATTATTTTTTTTTGACATGAAATTATTGAATACATTTAAGAATTTACTTCAGTTCCTGTTCATTTTATAATGTTATATCACTGTTTTTCCTGACAAAGAAGGCCTCGAGATCGATTGCGATCGGAAGTTAGTTTTGAATATTCGCGGAGCGCGAGCCTGCATATATCATGCGAGCTAGCTGCGGGGGTCCGCCGGGGAGCGTTATTTTTTTATGCGGCACAGATTGGGGCTTTTTTTTTAAAGGGGTCTTGATTTACAGACTAATACTGGTCGTGTGCGTACTAGACAGTATAAGTAGTAGAGGTCTGTTTCTAATAGTACATGTAATCCACTACCGCATGGAAAATCATTACATCAACAATTAAAATCAAATTGGAAATCTGAAGAGGAGGCAGCACGTCAATAAGGAGAACATCACAATAATTAGTCAATAAAACTTAACTAACTTAAACGAAGAGGAATGTTATCTAAACACATAGTTTGCGATGGATATACAAACTTCTTTGCTGCGCTAATGCGCTAGCGAACATGACTAGTCTCACGTACGTGCAGACAATATTCAGAAGGGAAAGAACGTACTTCCCATAGGTTTAACACGCGCCATGCCCCAATCTGTGCCGCATAAAACGGCCGTGGCCGGCCTAAACTCAGCCGAGTTCAAAACTCTGTTGCCGATTTGCGCATCTCAGAATCTAAAGTACGTTGTCTCTAGACATTGCACGCACGTGTATAGGCCCCGGTTTCCGTGATCTTCAAATATCAAATCGGCAACGGATAGTTTGGTTACAGCGAGCTAGCTTCAGTTTTGTTATGATCAGTGTGTATATATTTTGTGCAGTGCATCCTCTTCTCGCGTGCACGCGCACATCGGGATCGCAATGGGGTAGGGACGGGCGGGCTTGGCCGCCGCGCTGTGGGGGGAGAACTGCGATGTAACGTTAGATAGATAGGTCTAGGTAAGTACGGACGACGTCGCGTTCGTGATCGTAAGGGATTTCGTCGACTGCGGTCGTGTATGTGCGGCACTAATTATATCTTGGACGAAATTAAGGAAATTTTGGATTAGCATTGATTTAGATCTACTTTCTGTGATTTTTGCAAGGTTTATTATAGGAATTATAGCCGGTAAGAAACGAGTGAATAGGCGGCAAGTTTTACCGGTTACCGGCTTTAAACGACAGCCCTGTATATGCCTGTTGTACACTTTGGACCAATTACAAATATATTGTTAAGTTTCATTGTTTTACTATGTACAATGCAATCCCATGTACTTTATTTATTTTGTTGGAAATGGAAATAAACGAAATAAAATCAAATCACAGAAACGTCCTCTGAAGAAACCCGTTTTGATGACGTCAGTTGACATGACAGCCAGCTAAGTTTTCATTGCATACAGTACATTACATTGTTTGTCACATGCATGACTACATTTTACAACGTTCCCAACATGTAGTTTTAATAGGGTCTAGTTTTGGAGACTTTGAAACACTATTCACAGCCATGTGTATTGTACTTGAGCAATTACATAATCAATGATATCCTGTCAACAAAGGGAAGAGAGACGGAGAGAAGCTATCATTTACATTGTGAGTATATGGGCAAGTGCTTCTCCCCCCCCCCCCTTCTTTTCTTTTTTTTTTCTCTCTCTCTCTCTCTCTCTCTTTCTCTTTCTCTCTCTCTCGTTTTCTATCTCTTGTTTTCTCTCTCTGTCTCTTTGTCTCAGTGTCGCTTTCCCTATCCTTGCCTGATCTGTGTGTGTGTGTGTGTGTGTCTCTCTCTCTCTCTCTCTATCCCTCTCTCTCACTCTCCACTCTCTCTCCTTCCCTTTCTCACTGACAAGCTATTGTCTGCTTGTGATTTTCTACAAAACTTATATATTAATAATACAATCCTTTTTCAAGCCAATATTATCCCGAAACGAATGATATAGTGTACATGTACAATGTAGTATTAGTGTAGAGGGGGAGGAAGTCTTCAGTCCGCAAGCTTCCTTTTTCAAACAAAAACCGGTCTTTCAATTGAAGTTTTTAAAAGTTACAAGCAAACTAACGGAAAGGACGGGGAGGCGAGTGTATGGCTATGTATTTGCATTCCAGGAAGGTGGACACAATTTTAAACTACATGTTTATTGAGGATAAATCATAACTTTCTGGATAGTTCAGTTTGCATTGATACATTATTATAGCTTGTACATGTACACTTGCAACCAACATTTTCTACCTCTCTCTCTCTCTCTCTCTCACCAATCACTTGCACAATGTCTGCCAAGGACCTGAAGAGTGCTAACTTTACGTCATTCTGACAACCCGCATATACAAGTATTTTGATATATTCCGGGATTTTCTATGAAGATAAAAAGAATCTGTCATCTTAACCTTGGTTAAATCAAGCTGTCCCTGAATTGGGCACAGGATTTGATCTGAATAGAAATAACAGCCATCTTACCTGTACGGACCGTCCTAGCACTTGAGCACCTTGAGTCACTATCCCAGTCCTGCTCCTGGCCAGAGGATGCTTCCCCAGTCATGTCCTTGCCCTGCATGGACAGATGCCTGGAGCAGTAGCCGCGCCTCTGGGACTCCTTATTGCACCCTTCCCTGGAGCAAAGGCGTCGCCACTGCTTCCCGTTGAACTTCTTGCGGACCCCATTGGCATTGCAGATGACCTCGCCCTTCTTGTACTTGGGAGGTGGTGTCAGGGAGTGGGCGCTACCCATGGAGATGGTCGACGCATTGCTGGCACTACTGATGTGTCTTTTGCGGTTGGAGTAGTTGTTAGGTAACCGAGCCAGGTTGCCCTCGAAAGGAGAGTAGAGGGAGCCGGGGGTGGACGTGCCGGTTGTTCCTGGAGTAAGAGTTGGGCGACCGCGAAATTCCAGAGGCCTGTCAAAATTCTTGAGCTCATCATCCGAGCCAATGTCCTCCAGAGGCAACTGAACTCTCCTGTCACCGCTCAGGTGCCTGTCGCGAATGAAGACAGCCCTGTCTTGGACAAGCCGATCTGAGAGTGTTTTCTGTTCTGGAGGTGTCACCTTCTGCATGTCAAGATGCATGCTAGGCAGTGGAATTGTGTGTGATTCACGTTTAGGTTCAAAAGGACTGTACGTCAGCTGCCTGGCAATTGCTCCAGGTGTCTGCACAGGCCCAGAGGGAGGAATCTGCCAAGGAGGCCGTAACATCCTCAGCTTCCAAAGAGGGACTGTCATATCCTCCGTGCTGCTACTAGACCCTTCTCGTGTCGGTGAGGCTATGATGATCTGATACAAAGAATTTGGTCTCATCTCCCTAACGAAGGCCTCATAATACTGTCCTTTGCCATCTCTCTGGACACAGACTTTGGAGCCTGCGCTTAGAGTGTTCACAGGAGGCACTTTATCGCCAACGATGGAAATCTGGTCCGAGTCAATAACATCATTAAACATAGTGATCTCCTTGTCCCCTTCAAACAACACCCCAACACTTTTCTTCTTTACATGTTTGATTATTCCCAGGGAGAATCCTTCGCCCCTCAGAGCCAACACCCTCTGGCCCTTCAATTCTTTGGAATCAACAGCTATCTTCTTCTGGGGTGTAGCAGACTCCGGGAACTCTCCCGGCCTCTTCACACCAGTTCTAACAGGAGTCAATGCTGGTACTGGCTCATTCAACGACTCTCCTTGTATCGCTTCATCGTCCCCAGAGAGGGCACTGTCCGTTTCCTCATCATCTTCACTGTCCTGGATGACCTCTGCTGCTGCACTCTTTGCTTCACCAACCGCTGCTGTCATACAGCCTGATTCTGTAGTCCTAACATTGATTGTATCACTCAATACCAACCTCTTTGGCTCTGACTGTTCTCTCGCTTGCTGTAGTTCTGCGACACCTTCTGCAGGAGATGATCCTGTACTCGTTTCCCTCATTGGGATTTCGAGCGACCCCGGCCTTGGAGTGCTTGCCCCAGATGACGAAGGCTCACTTGTCCCAGAGTCACTAGAAACTGCCATTTTGTTTCCATTTCTGTTGGCATTCCGCAACTTTTTGTGCCTCACCAAGTCATCCGCTGTATCTTCCTCTTTAGGGAGTTTAGTTCTTCGAGTTCTTCCAGAGTTAGAGTCTGGTGTAGCCGGAGACTCTGATTTCTTGTTACGTCTGCTACGTTCTTTCTTGCTATTCATTTTGTGACCTGCAAGAAACAATGAGAAAAGAGGAGGTTAGAGATTATTTGAGCTTCTTTTAGTCCTGTAAGAAAATTTAAGCCATGGTAATACCAGGGCTCGATACCAAAAGGTGCCCGGGACACAAGGGCGCCCAAAGTCTATGTCTGGACCCCCAAAATGTCAGAATTTCTACATACCGGTACTGTACATGTGATGTATGCTCAATGCATACCAGTACACTGTTTACACCTAAAAAATAAGTCCAGACCCCTATTTAACAACAAAAAATTAGTGTCCTTTTTTAACCATGGTTCAAATTAACCCCCCCTTCATGAATTCAAACCATAAATGATGGCCAATGAATGTCAGCTTCTTTTCAGATGTGTATACTGCACATACAAAAACCACAACCCAGTACTTTCCCCTAAATTAACAAATATGCACTCTCTCTCTCTGTACCTCTAATTCATTTCAGTGTTTTGGTCTATTTCAGTATCATTTTGCTCTCTCTCTCTCTTTCCCATCCTCTCCCTCTCTTTTTCCCATCATCTCTCTCTCTCTCTATCACTCTCTCTTATCCCTACCCCCCCCCCCCTCCTCTCTCTCTCTCTCTCTTCTCCATTTCTCTATTTCTCTCTCTCTCTCTTTCTTATCCCTTTCTCTCTATCACTCTCTTATCCCTACCCCTCCTCTCTCTCTCTCTCTCTCTCTCTCCCTTGATCAGAATGTGGTCAACTGGTGGTGGGTGTACATGTTTGTGACTCACTTCCATCGGCTTAACTGAGAAGCCTGGCCTATTAAATCCATTCAAAATTGCTATACAATGTATATCCACACAACCACAATACCATCAAGAAAGCAAGAATGAAATAGTTTTTTAATAGTTAGCTAGCAAACGGAACAAATTTTCAAGTAATTATCAACAAAAAGAGGTATTATGACTCCTTTTATTTATTTATTTTCCTTTTTTATAATGCCCATCAAAATATAACAATAACAGCTTCATGAATATTAAATATTGTGTGTGTATCCTTCCAAAAGGACGATCAAGGTACATACAAAGTCATGTTATTACTCTAGCGGACCCAGCTGCCCTCAGGCGCTAAAAGTGATCAAGGAGTACATGTACATTCCTTCCAGTACCAATTTCCCATTGACTACACCTGTGTGGAGAGTGGCAAATGGAGTTTAATGCCTTGCCAAAGAAAATTAGTGCCACGGTGGAACTTGAACTGAGCCCATTGACTACACCTGGGTGGTGAGAGGCAAATGTAGTTCAATGTCTTGCCAAAGGAAATTAGTGCCACGGTGGAACTTGAACCATGTGCTCCATAGTCCAGTGACATATCTACTAGACCATGACACCTCTGTATAAACAATAAAAACAAGGAAGTGTTTACTATTGCTGGTACTTAGAACTTTCAATCTTTGGTCAACTGTTGAATCTACATTGTATTGACTCAATGTGAAGGGAAAAAATGTAGTCATTAATTACTTCCCAACTCTTTCATCAGATGGTGTATAATCAAAGAGACAACAAAATATATATTGTATGTTTCTGTATAGAATGATGTCACCATGAGGTTTCTTAACCTTTGTTTTAGCTACACCTGTAGTTGTCAACATAACATGACAGGTACTACTGTCTCAAGTGTTCCCTGCATGTTTGTAAACAGTCTTTGGTTCAATCTTAGTGCAGGGGCACTGCACATGAGTTGATGTTGAATATTATGCATATTTTTTAATTAAAGACTTCATTGAAGACAAAAATATGTTTTTACTGAATGTAATCTTTAATGCCTCACCTACACATGTACAGTACCTCTTTCTCTCCCCAATCTTTCCATCACTCTCTCTCTCTCTCTCTCTCTGACACATAAAGAGGCTTCCTTCCCTCTCCTTCTCATCCCTCTCTCTCTCACACACACACACACAGACACAGACACAGACTTCCTTCCCTCTCCTTCTCATCCCTCTTCTCATCTGCCCTCCCCCCCCCTCTCTCTCTCTCTTACACAAACACACACACACTTCCTTCCCTCTCCTTCTCATCCCTCTTCTCATCCCCCCCCCCCCCCCCCCCCTCCCTCTCTCTCTCTCTCTCTCTCTCTCTCTTTACTCCTTCCTCCATGGCAAAAAACAGCATTTCTGAGGTAAAAGTGACCCGATGAGGACACATCCTTTGTTTGTGTATGAATTATCAGACTCAAAATCATGTTTACCCCAGTATCCACGATGCCCCACTCACACTAGAAATTCAAGGACTCATTCTCATTTGACACTACTGTACATGTACGTATAAACCACTGCAAAAAACACTGCTTTATTAAACATGTAAATGAATGCTACTCGACTTAGAGCGATATTATTTCACCAGTGTGGACACACCCTATCGTGACCTGGCACTGACCCGCACTGTTTTATTATCGGCAAATCCTCTTGGAGATAGTTGCCCAAAACAAAGAAATAACACTTCCCAAAATACAACCACGTATGACTGCATGACAAGGCTTAATAAGACCGACATTGTGGTTTTTTGGAAGCAAACTATGGACCCTTTCATTTATATTGTAATAATAATATTGTTTAATAATAGTATTGTTTTATAAAGAGCGATTCAAATCAGAATGGGTTTTTTAAAGTGCTATACAAACAAAACTGATTATCATGTTTATTTAATTTACAAACTAGTCAGGGATAAATGGGTATGGACACAAAATGTCTATCATTTCAGTTATTCATGAGGTCCAACAAGTATAAAGTTGTAATAATTATTTTGTCCTGATTACCCCTTTTCTTTTAATATGTAATGACTTGTTTCATATATATTCGTAAAGAAATTTCAGCTTGCAACCAGTAAATTTCCTTTCCAAATTGAAAGTACTTTCAGGAAGCCTAATAATCTTTCGGAAAACAAATACGGTAAATGAAATGATGAAATCTGATAGTCAAGGGCCAGTTTCTCAAAACCAACATGAGTCTACATTCGTAGACAACCCATAGAAATGGGTTTCAATGGGATGTCCAAGAAGTTATACTTGTGACGGTTTCATGAAACAGCCCCTTGAACACTGTTAATGTGTATAATAATACAGGATGTCTTGTAAGTAATATTGCCAATCCACAACTGTGTTTGTGTACTTTCTGAATGAGATTACTTTATAGGCCCAGCGTTCGTGCAAAGCAGCAAGTCCCAACGTGTTCTCAGATGATATAAAGGCCTATACATAAATACTCAAAGAACAAATAAAAATGAGTGGGCACCGAGCAGTGACACTCTAGTGAATCAATCCAATCAAGTGGGTTAAAGGACAATCCAAATTTTATAATGAGTTCTTTAATTTGTATAGAAGCAAACAAAATAAGAGAAACAAAACATACGGCTAATGTTTCAAATAATTGGATGAATTATAGGAAAGTTTTGAGTGTTTGAATCACTCAATCTACGAGAATCTCTAATAGGCAATTTGGTCAGTGGATTGTGTCGTACAGTAGGCACGGAAAACTCTCTCTTTTGTCATACATGAATTGATAGCATAAAGGTCCTTTAAAATTAAAAGGCCCTTCTGAGTACTACATTTTTTGTAAATGACATTCTAGTCATTTATGTGCTGGAACAAATGGAAAATGTGTTCGGTTCTAATGTATGTCACAGTAATTATACCGATTCAGTCAGTGAATTAGAAATTCCCATGCATATCTAGTGATTACACTTTTCACAAATTCACTTCCGATTTCGTTCAAACTTTACACAAGTCTTCTTCTCTAACATTTCTTCTATTATTAGAATAATTTGCTATTAATTTAAGGTTGACATTTCCATTAAATCCAGACAAAAACCCATCAGATTCAGCAAGCCTCTACACATGCAGACTAGACCGAAAACTTCAGTCTCTCTAATCGTCAGTTGTTCCACTGAGACTACGTCTGGCTCCACTAGACCTCCGATTATAGAGACTGAAGTATGGCCTATCGGGACTGTACGGGACTGTACGGAACAAATGGTTCGGTTCGACCGGACCGCGATGAATGAGATATGCAACGAGGTTTTCACTCTTTACATCCTCATAACTGCTGCAATTATAATAAAAATTAAAAATAACATATATATATAGCTTATTTGACTTACGATAGCTTGCTCATTTAGATCCTAAATTAATGATTAATCCGAGAAAGTCTCGTTGTCGACATTATCCGTCTTGGTTTTAGTTGATGAATATTCATTTTTTCTTTTTGAACGTCCAATAGCTACCGTAGCTACATACGAGTCAGCCCGGCTTGACCAACGAACTCCCACGAAACGAGTGCTCTGATTGGCCATTTGGCTATGTTTTGGTAGGTTGACCCGGAAATATTTTGGCCGCCGGGTCATATAGCCCTATGTTCGAGTGCATGAACGTACTGTTTCACAGTTCTGAGATACAAATTGGATAATTAATATAAGTAAGTCCGTAAATTATACATTTAATATTAATTTATCAAATTTTGATAACTGTAATTAGGACAAATGACATACCAACCTAATTTACATCTGATTTAGAAATCAGAAAATTAGATCTAAATAAAGAAAATCGGGGGAGAAAATGTTGTGAACGAAAAGATGTACATTGTTGGCTCTAGCTACCCCCACGGTACGAGATCTCTGGGTTACCATCTGTATTGGGAAATGTCAACAAATGTCAGTCTTATTAAACAAATGACCGAAATCAGATGGTTATTTCTGTCTAATGCAGACAAGCTACTTTTATATTATTTTAACCACACATCACTATAGATCTACAATGTACCTGTACATATCTGCGTACTATTGACTGTGCGCGCATCAACCCACATTGCGTTAATCTTCATTTCACGAAGCCTGCACTTTTCAGGAAGAAGAAGAAGTGATAGCTTAACAAAATCATTCATTTTATGTTTTCATGTTTTTCGTGTGATTAAACTATACGGAGGACTAATTGAACAAAGGCTGACGTTTACTCTCTTCTTAATTAATGACAAAGTAGACCTATTCTTTTTTAGTTTAAACAGCATTCACTTGCGACTAGAACATGTTTCATTTTGTAGCGGAAAAAAAATAAAACACTGAGTGACTGACAAAACAACAACATGAACTTGACAACATATCAAATCAAGTTGGAAAAAACTGTAGTCTAGATCTATCCTCTCCACTTGCAACTTTTCTCATCAGTGTAGGTATAACATGAACTTGAAGATGTAGGACTAGGACTAGAATCTAGACAATTAAAGCCAAAACAACACATATTTCACCTCGTCATTCTCATACCACTAAATTCAGCATAACCTCAATAGGATCGTGTACACATTAGCTACAGTTGTCCAGCATCGATTGGCAACGTACTCTTTGCAATGCAATATCACTAGGCTAGCTAGGGTTGTGTGCTATATCAGCTAGCCGACCTATCAGCTGGGCGGCGAATTGTACACGCTAGCTCTACGTGTGTACTAGAGAGTAGAGGACCGGCGTAGTAACATTCGAACACTATACTACACCGACATACTCGCAATCAAACAGCTTAAACTTCATCTTAATAAAACTAACTTTGAATTCTACCAACATTTTATGAATCTTGATATATTAATCTTATAGTACGTTACCTTTATGAAAGAATATGGGCTTGGAAAATGAAGAAAATCCAACGTAATCTGTGATCCAATATTGCAGCTTCTACACAGACCCCGCACTCTAAAAATGGTGAATGAGAGCGAAGGTTTCGGCGAACAGGGTTCTGATTGGTCAAAATATTTTAATGAATATTCATCATCTACGCCATTGGATCGCTCTTGATGTATTACCTCATGATTATTCATATTTACTTGCGACACAAACATGATTTGCATAATTACTTATTATTGTGACCTTTAAATCCCACCGCCATGAATATATCACTCCCGCGCTGGCCAATCTCCCATTCACTCGTATACACTTTTCCAGTGGCATTATGTTGTATCTTACCAGTATTATGTTGGGACATACATTTTTGCCTATAACACCTCACTTTAAAATACACGCTCTGTATTTTTTATTCCGTATTCTACGGTTTTTACCAAAACCGATACAAAGAGAAGATATATGTACACGTAAAACCGAGCGGTAAAGGTACATTGGTCGAGTAAAAATAGAATTTGTTGCCTAGTGTCTGCGCGCGCCGATATCCTCGTAGGTAATTTTACTACAATGAGCAAAGTAACCAATGGGAGAAGCGGTATTCTGATTAGCCACGTCCAGTCTCCGCCTCTTTCGCATACTAATGAGTTTGACTGTCCAATCACGGCGGACTTGTGTGACATCACAAGCATCGTGCCATGTTGTTTTGCAATGGCAAGCGAAAGAGTTCACCCGGGGACCTTTGTGTTGTGAAGCTAACTCTCGTAATGAATGGTGATTATATCGCGCCTATTTTTTCTTTCTTGAGCAGAAGTAGATAGAAACACTGTATAGTGTCTGGGACACAATATGATGGAAATTAGACAAATAAAAAGAGAAAGCGTCGGTGGAAGCTGGTCGATTAGTTATCCATCAATTACCGACTGGTTCGCCATGCAGGTGTGGTCAACTAGTTTTCAGCTGAATCCAGGGTTGCGTTTTATCTTTTGTGACGTAGCGCTCAGGTCAGTCAGTCTACACACTCTAAATATAATCTCCTATCTTCGTAAATATAATAAGCCCAACTGTTTCTACGAAAAGCAGAGTTGTGAGATAACACTTTTTCATGGCTTCAGAAAAAAAAAGCACGGTAATCATAAAAAAAGGGCTTATAAGAGGCAAAGTTATCAAGCATTTATTAAAAAAAGGTACGACTAAATTGTTTTTCATTTGGCCAACAAACCGTGTGTAGTAATGCCTTGTAACGAGGGGTGATTTATCGTGGTCTGATAATAGAAGACTACTCGGTGAGGGCAGATGTCTACTATTAGCAGCAGCAGGTTCGCGATATTTTATGCGTCCCTGGGTAAATATAGTTCAACTGTAATGATCCTTCCCTCCCATCTCCGCTCGTCTCTCTCTCCCTCTCTCTCTCTCTCTCTCTCTCTCTCACTCTCCCTCTTCTGACTCTTTCTCTCTCTCTCTCTCTCTCTCTCTCTCTTTCTGACTCTTTCTCTCTCTCTCTCTCTCTCTCTCTCTCTCTCTTCTGACTCTTTCTCTCTCTCTCTCTCTCTTCTGACTCTTTCTCTCTCTCTCTCTCTCTCTCTTCTGACTCTTTCTTTCTCTCTCTTTCTTTCTCTCTCTTTCTCTCTCTTTCTTTCTCTATATTTTCTCACTCTTGTATCTCTCTGTCTCAGTCTCACTCAATGTTGTAGTTCTCAAAGCTGGAGAAAAGTCATGACAAAAAATGTTATCTAAATCAATTTTAGAAGAGAGGTATAGAGAGGGGGGACCGGGGGTGCCCGAAGTCCGGTGGGTGGTTAACACAACACCCCCACACCGGACAACCATGGACCCTACCGTGGCACCGTGGTAGCAGGGGCGGCGATTTCTTTCATGACACGGGGGACGAAATGCCGCGAGGGGAAATCTGTATTCCTCTGGTATCACGGTGATACCAACGCAGTACAGATTTTCTACAGTATTTACTTGTACATTTTGAAGGATATTATTCGGGGGGGGGGGTACTCACATATCAAGACAAACGGGGGTGCCACTCTATTGGGTCACTTTTTCACACACAAATCCCTAAACATTGGTCCCATTTTTAATAAAAATACCATTAAAAATGGGTCTTTTTTTTCAAATTTCCAAAATCCCCCCCCCCCCAAACAACAACAAAAAAATTGTGAAAGATGGGCCTTATTTCGAGAAAAATCCCCGAAAATGACCCTTCAAAATGGGTAAGGGTTTCGAAGCTTGAGCAGAAGTGTGTTTTAAATGACATTCTCTTTTACATCATAATACAATTTAAGTGAAATTTTGCGAATTCGGGGCTCCCAACACTTTTGAGGAGCTTTAACAAGTAGTGACTCTGTTTGTAGGCGAAGACAGAGCTGACCGTACCGGGGGTGGAGGGAGGGCGGGACGGGGGGGGGGGGGGGGGGAGTACTCAGGTTTGTTTTGGACGGGGAAGTGCCGCTCAAGCTCTGAAACCCCTATTTTAAGGGTCATTTGGTGGAATTTTTCTCGAAATAAGGCCCATTTTTTTTTACAATATTCGGGACCCATTTTAATGGTATTTTTTTTTTAAATGAGACCCATTTTTAGGAGTTTTTTTGCGAAAAAGTTACCAATTAGAGCGGCACACCCCATATGACTTGATACGTGAGTACCCCTCCCCCCCCCCCCCCCCTCCCCCTCCCGGGTGGGGCTAAACCAGCTCTCATTATCTCTAATTAATTGATTTTTAGTTAACCTATAAGTTTGATGCATGTGCTTTCAGTTTAACTAAAAAATAAACATATTTTGAAGGGAGAGAGTGACTTGCTCTCAGTTGGTTTGAGACCAAAAACCGAAAATTATTTCATCATATTTGAAAAGTATTATTGTAATTATGAATGTGAAAGAGGGAAGTTCACTTTTCTTGAGAGAAAGGAAATGTCATTCACCTATACCGTCCCTTTTGTACAGGGCTGAATTGGCTGCCATCATTCTTGCTCTCAGATGGGTAGATGAATTAGATATTTATGTGGAAGTTGTTATTTGATTCACTGAGTGCTCTTATTGCATTATACCAACAAAAGGACGAATCTTTTATTCTGGAAATGCTCACCATGACTACTCACTTAAAGAGTAAAGGAGTTGATGTATACGTGGAGTGGATACCTGGATATTGTGGAATAAAAGGGAACGAGATGGCGGGTTTCCACGCAAAGGCCGCATTACTAAGAAAATAGAAGTCAATAATAATCTAAATATGTCAGAAATGAAAAGCTTAATTATTACAAGTTCCAAACTCCTTTGGCAAGAAAGGTGGAATAAAACCAACTCATATTTAAAAACATTTCAAAAACATGTTAATAAACAATCATTATAGAGAGACAGCATCATTCATCGACTCCGCTTGAGTCAATGGACTAAATCAGGATCTCCTCAGATTGAAAATTCATGCTACTGGTTTTTGTAATAGATGCCATGAAATAGAGACAGTAAAACACTTTTTAGTACATTGCCCTAACTATATAATAGAAAGGGCTATGTTTTAACAGATATTATAAACGAATCTCAACCGGGAAAAATTACAATACAAAAAGCTGTTGTACGGTTCGTTCTCAGAACGAAACGGTTTCCTATCAGGAAGTAATACCTCAGTACATTAAAAACATAACAACATAATGTAATAAGAAAATAAAATAAGAAAAAGCAACTACAATGATGAATAGTAAAAATAATGGTAGTAATGACGAGTATAACAATGATAACAATAACAATAGTAATAATGAATAAAATACATAAAAGTGAGTAATGTAACAATAGTCGCAGCTGACTAATCGCCATTGCCAAACCTGAAGAAGAAGGTGTTGTTATTGTTGTTGTTGTTGTTGTTGTTGAGTTCGTTGGCGCTATCCATCGATTCCGATGATTTCCGCCAGGCTGTGTGTGAGGGCGTCTTGCTCTCACTTCTGCTGCTCTACGTTTGCCCGGTGTGTGAGATAAAGATTTACCTTGACCTTTGTTATTGGCGAAGTGCAAGGTTATGGAGGATTAATGTGCTCGTTAGTCATTTAATGTTAGAGCTGGTTGGAATTAATATCATGAAGTTTTGGTGTCAATTTATAGAGTTAATGATAAATAATGTGTCTTATATTTAATAAGTATGCGCATTTAATAATCGGCTGCCATCATTTATTCAGGCTTCTCCGTCTCTCTGTTACTTTTATGCCTTAAGGCATGAAAAGCACAAGAATGATAACAACACAATGCTATAATACACTTTACAATTCTCTATATCTTCCAGAACCTTTTATAAAGGCTAAAATGATTGAGCAGTTTTCTGCTTTTCCAAGTAGGTTTTTCAGGTTAGGATTCGTCACATGAAGTTTGCGATACATACAATTCCTCTGTCTTTCATATTTAGGGCATGATAACATAAAATGTTCGATAGTTTCGAAAATGTGACAATTGTCGCAAAGGCCGGTATCATGCCTGTTTATTGAGTAATTGTAATAATTAAATCTACACTTACCAAAACGGAATTGGTGTAAAATTCTTTCATCCTTACGACAAAAACCTTTAATCATACACGTATATTCTACATCTCGTTGTATAGAGATTATCTGGCTTTCTCGGCAGTTTCCAATTAGAAGAAGTTGACTGTTCCTTTATAAATAAATTGCCTTTTACTAGCGTCTTCTACGTTTTCAGTAGAGCGCCCCCATGGAGGATCCATAGATCGATGACACCTGTACGAATGGGTGTTAAAACTGATTTTGATATTCAAGTAAATTAAAGTTTTAACGAGTTGCTCATTTGGCGCCTTATAAATCTTATGTATTATTATTATTATTAAACAATTAAAGGGAGGCTTTACTACTTCAGCCAGAAAGATTAGACCACCCAGTGAGCCAGCGAGGTCACTGTGACAGGTGGCTATCTCATTAACTCAGCTCTCATTTAACATAAGAAAAAGAGGATCATGGGGGACCAACAGGCACCGATTTGGGAAGTTTTCTATATAGAGGGAGCAAGTAGCTTCAAGTAGGACAGTGTGCCTTTAAAGGCACCAAATTTCTGGATGCTCTGGCAATTAAAAATAGAATTCTTCCTTATTAATAATCACAGTGTGTTTTGGCAGAAAATGGTTGGGATAAAGGATTTGTATGGGGGAGGGGGCTTAGAATTTTGTTATTTTCCCTTGCGTCCCTCGCTGGAATTGATTAATAAGCAAGAAAAATGGGGCGCTTGAGTATCCTCTCCCCGGCCCCTTCTAGAGCTGTTGTATTGCAATAAAGCATGCCTTTCAAAGAAACTTTTCAGCAGTAGACTCCAGTCTCCACCACAGTAGATTAGGGGGAAGGAAAATGTATTACTATTTTCTCGATCAGAAAAAAAACTATAGGCTGCATTAGAGGGCGCTGTTCCAGATATTGCAAAGCCTGTACAGAAAACATGCCTCCTGGTAATTTGGCAAGTAGTTATTTTGTATTGTTTTAAAGCAGATGTTTCTGCCTTAATTAAAAAAAAACATAACAACAATCAAATAACAATTATGTAATATATTAATTGATTTACATGAAATATGACAACTGAAATATAAAAAAAAGTATGAAAACTGATATTGAGGGAAATTAAAGAATTATTTTTACCCTATTTATACCGCATGGGACCGTGCTTTTAAAAAGAATAGATAGTTCCCTTGAATTGGACGTATTACAAGAGAAAAAAAAAATCACATAATACATATAGTTGGTAAATTTGTTTCTCTCATGGACTGTGAGATATAGGGTAGTCCCATATACATCTTTCTGTGTATAGTGCTTGTAACTTTACGAAGAATGGGCCAAATTTCTTATCATTTTGATGATTCCAGAACCTTGCAGATGCGAGATGCTAGATGATCAACCTTTTCTGATCGATTCCACAACGTTTCTTTCACAATGCAATCGCATGACCATAACTGGTCTTTACCTTTAATATAACAAAATATACATGGGCATAAACGTAATGTCATCCGTTGCATCATATACATGAGTTTATTAAAGGAAAATAATAATGAGCTACAAAGTATTCTTTGTACACGAATATAACAAAACATCAACAACAATACAGCAACAAGAAAAGGGACTCGCACTGTGAGCTCCTGCATGGAACGACTCACAACGGAAATTTAAATGACTGTCCTCCATAGGGGATCCTATACAAAATCCATTTTATATATTAATTCTTTATCCTTGTACTTCTTCACTCCCTCTCGATCGGTCTCTTCATTAAAACCAATAACCGACATTATTTTGTTTTAAAAGCAGAAACTGACCTTTAAATTAACATCCAGTTCCCATATCCATAGCAAATGCAACAGCAATCATTGCTATATAACCCTTACAAAAATATACCATGGTAACCATGGTACTTTTGTCCAAATTACCATCCACCATAGTAACCATGGTTATCATGGTACCAAAACAATGAAATGCATTGCTTAATGACCCAATGTATTTCATTGTTTTGGAACCATGATAACCATGGTTACCATGGTGGATGGTAATTTGGACAAAAGTACCATGGTTACCATGGTTACCATGGTACATTTTTGCAAGGGAAATTATAAATCCAGAGAGAAGTAGTGAAAGGGAGAGGCACAGAGATAATAGAAATGAAGAAAGAAAATATCAGCAAACCAATATTATTGATGTATAATACAATATGTATGCACACATTCCATTTCATGTTCCCCTTTTCCATTCGATAGTGCCTATTATTGCCATTAAGGCGACTGCGACTTAGTAGGAAAAAGGTTGTGATAAAGAAATGCTATTAAAAGTCGCGAATGTTGATATTATGCTCTCTTCCGTACAAGAGACAATTTTAGGCCCCATTGTAAAAGTATACTGTTTTATTAGTAGCATTTGTTTTCAGTTACTGTCCCTTTTGATGAAATGTTTACAAACTATATGTTAATCTATCCCTCTATCTCCGTAAAATCATGGTTATTGAGAATTATGCAGTATGTGTTTTGACCGATTGATATCATCTGTATGTACACCAACTAATACTTTTCAGCGCTCAATAACGGTAAAGGCGTGTGCGCAGGGAGTCAGCGAACTCCGTGCATCCGCCTAATATAACTATTCCAATGATAGAGGGGGAATTCCCGTTTTTGCGATAGGTTGTATAAAATTTATCGCCGCCGCGGCCGCCATATTTGTAAACGGATGCGTTCGGTTGGGCGTAGCAGTATGACTAGGCTAGGAGTAGGAGCCTAGATCTAGACGACTGTTCATCTTGGCTTGGCTTGGCCTTCTGCTTTATTGAGTCTGTGGCAGTAAGATTCGAGTCAATTTAAGGTGCAAGGTGAGGTCTGTGTTTACGTTCAATCTTTACGAAAAATGATAACAGATAGACCTAGATCTAGTGAAGGTTTATAAATCTAACTTAGTGATTTGCAATGGCTTACGTACATCGAAAGGGTGCGGTGCGGTGCGGTGCGGCGCCGTGGTGTGTTGAGTTCAACACACCCTTTCGAGAAAAGCGGTGGGGCTTTTCTCGAAAGGGTGCGTTGAGAACGGAGTACCGTCTTGACACACCCTTTCGTGATAAGCGGGGGGGGGGGGGGGGGGGGGGGGGGGGGTGTCTTTTCTCGAAAGGGTGCATCGACTACCGGTAGCCTTTTTTACATCAGTCGTTAAAGATAAAGACCAGTTATGGTCATGCGATTGCATTGTGAAAGAAACGTTGTCGAATCGATCAGAAAAGGTTGATCATCTAGCATATAAGTATTGGTGTGTACTTCAAGGTTCTGGAATCATCAAAATGATAAGAAATTTGGCCCAGTGCTCGTAAAGTTACAAGCACTGTACACAGAAAGATGGGGGACTACGCACACGTGCGTGACACGTGCGTTTATCTCTCACAGTCCAATAGATAAACTAATTTACCAAATATATCAATTAGTAGGCATGATATTCTTTCACATGATGGGTAATAAGAGCTTCCATTTCATATTTTGAAATTGGGGTGTTTCCAATACTGGTCTTTACCTTTAAAATGTTAAAGGAATAGAAAGTCGTTTTATAAATTGAAATGATCAAAATTGAACTACTTTTTACGTAGTCTTGCAGATCAGGCTTTTATACAAATTAAATCGGTAAATAAAAAGAAACAATGAATAATTATTTTGAAATGAAATGTGAAAAAATGTGACTTTCCTTAAATTCAAATGTGTGTGGATGTGATAACAACCATTAGGCCTATAGATAGCATATATGCCGGTGAATACATTTTTCAGATGGTAGTCTATAGAAATTAAAAGATAATTTCAATTTGTTTTGGCAAAAATGTAAAAAAACACATGAAAAAAGCATGTGCACTCCCACTCATAGCTGCATTACTATCCTGGCTGTGTATTAAAAGCTGTGCTATTGATTCTCAACATTTCAAACACCACTGTACAAAACTCCACTGATTTCACTCAAAATTGGTACTTTAGTGACGATTGATGACACCTAGACAGCAGTAAAATACAATTTTTTCAACTTTCTGATGTTAAAAAGAATAATTCAAAAATTTAAATTGTGAGTCTACTTTCAAACTTGCCGATCAGCCGCATCGGCATTATTATGTGCATTTGCGTGTTGTGAGTGTATTGACTATTCATGTACTGCCTATTAACACGTAGTGCAGTGCTATAGAGCCTAGAGGTCAATACGCATTAGCATTGACTCTCTATGCTTTGCTGGAGTGGTGCACTCCTACAGTTTTTAAGCGAGACTTAATGAATACATAGACGTGTGTCTGATTAAGTAAAATGGCAATCAATTTTTATTTGTAATTTAACGATAGGCTATGCAATACCAGTTTACATTTTTTAAATGAATTCCATACAAAAAAAGAAATGGATATTATTTGTATATCAATAAATAAACGACTGGTATGCAAGACTAGCTAAACACCTATATTTGACATTTGAAAAAATATTTAAGTTATTTATTTCATTGTGTTTCTTTTTATTTACTGATTTAATTCTTATAAACGACATTTCTATTCTATAACATTTTAACGACTGATGTGAAAGACTAGTCGACGCACCCTTTCGAGAAAAGACATCCGCTTATCCCGAAAGGGAAAGGGTGTGTTAAAAAGGAAGGCGCGTAGCCAGGGGGGGGGCGGGGCGGTGGGGGCAATCGACCCTTAAAAAAAAACGCCGGCCAAAAAAAGAAAAAAAAGAAGAAAGGAAGAGGACGTAAGGAAGAAAAAGGATTAAGAGTCGAGAACGGTACAACAAATTGTTTTCTTTCTCTAATAATTCCATGTAACGTCAAAGCTTACGCGTTTTGCGCGAGAGGGGGGGGGGAACTGAATTCAGATAAGGACTAAGAGCCGAGAACGGTACAACGAATCGTCTTCTTTCTCTAATAATTTATGAAATGTCAAAGCTTCCGCGCCTTACGTGGGAGCGGTTAAACTGAATTCAGACAAGGATTTAGAGTCGAGAATGGTAAAACGAATCGTCTTCTTTCTCTAATAATTTAATGAAACATCAAGCTTTCGCGCGGGAGGGGGGTAAACTGATTTCAGACAAGGATTAAGAGTCGATTGAGAATGGTACAACGAATCTTCTTCTTTCTTTAATAATCTAATGAAACGTCAAAGCTTTCGCCGGTAAGTGGGGAACCTCGCCCCTCTCTGCACCCACCCCCCTATGGAGCCGCCTATGCGTGCTCTGTAAGTGATTGGCATGCTTCGCGTGCTCACTACCTCCCCCCTATAATGAAATCCTGGCTACGCGCTTGTAATACGGTACTCCGTTCTCAACGCACCCTTTCAAGAAAAGCGGGGGGGGGGGGGGGGGGGGGGGGCTTTTCTCGAATGGGTGCGTTGAACTCACCATACCGCGCCGCACCACAATGCACCCTTTCGATGAAAGCCATACGCAATTGCATCACACATAGTCATATTACTATCCTGGCTGTGTATTAAAGGTAGGCGTTACTACTGCAGCTAGAAGGGATTAGACCACACAGCGAGCCAACGAGGTCACTGTGACAGGTGGCTATCTCATTTAGCATAAGAAAAAGAGGATCATGGGGGACCAACAGGCACCGATTTGGGAAGTTTTCTATATAGAGGGAGCAAGTAGCTACAAGTAGGACAGTGTGCCTTTAAAAGCTGTTTCTCAACATTTCAAACACCACTGTACAAAACTCAATTGATTTCACTCAAAATCGGTACTTTAGTGACAATTGATGACACCTAAATAGCAGTAAAATACAATTTTTATAACTTACCGCCAGGGTTGGGCGGTAAATACCGGTGGCAGTAAATACCGGTAAATACCGTCCGGTAAATAAGATGGGCATCCGGTAAATATGTAAAACACGGGAAATATGATTTTAATTCTCTATTTATTAATAATTTTACTTGTTTTTAGCCTCAACAACTAAAAATATTGTTCTGAAATAATTAGCAGCACAACACTCGTAGTAGAAACACACAAACAGATTTATAAAATCCACACTGCATACATGTACACACCCAAACACACACACACACATGTAAAACACACAAACTCATATTCATTTTTCCAGGGGTTAAACTTTTTACATGTATCTCATTACAATATGATTTTTGTTTTCAATTTTGAATACGGTAAAGCTCAGAATTAATATGAATAATATTCTACTGTATGTAAGTTTTTTTTTGTAACAATAGTGTATCAATGATTTTGTATACATGTGTACTACTAGTGGTTACTGGTTTTGAACTTTTAATAAATGTTTACACAACAAAAAAATTACACAAGCTCACATTATGTTATTTTAATAATAATAATAATAATATTTAGCTCTTATATAGCGCTTATCACAAATGTCTCTAAGGGCTTAACAAATATACTATTAGCCCGATCATTGGATTCTGTGCTTGCCCGCACACACTGTGTGCACAATCTTCACTCCCTGGGGAGCATTCCAGCCAGGCGTTACTTGACGCTCAAAAACTATTTGACCAACAATGACGGTCGCATCCTACATGTAGGTTCATATCTTGCCAAAGGATATTAGTGCTGTGTCAGGATTCGAACCCTCAACCTTCGCATCTCCAGTCAAGCGCCTTAAACCACTTAACCACGACACTCCTCATGAATATGGTAATTAGCAACTGATTTGGGATCTTTTTTCTGTATTTTTTTTTCCAGCATTTCATAGTAACAGACATAGACACCCACACACACAAATAGTACACACCAGAGCAACCATACTCACGGCCATTGTTATTATCTTCAAAATTGGACAATCCCTATGAACAAGTGAGTGGAAACATATATTTCCCGGTATTTCCCGGTAAAAAGAGGTAAATACCAGTAAAAAGTGGTAAATACCAGTAAAAGTGGTAAATACCAGTAAACAGGGCTCAAATTAAAGATGAAAGTTGAGTTCTGGTCATACGATTGCATTGTGAAAGATACGGTGTGGAATCGACCAGAAAAGGTTGATCATCTAGCATATAAGAATTTGTGTGTATTGCAAGGTTCTGGAATCATCAAAATGATAAAAAATTTGGCCAAGTCTTGGTAAAGTTACAAACACTGTTCACAAAAAGATGTATATGGGACTACACGAACACGTGGCGTAAAAAACCGGCCCCCTGATTTTTACATGTTACATGACATATTTAGAATATGAAGGCATTTGAAGAGCCATGCTTTTCAGGGAACATGTCTTATCTGATGTTCTTCCACACTTGCATAATAAGAATGATAAAGTTCACAAATTATTGTTCACCTCTCCCAGAACTCAACCTTCTCTTTAATTTTTTGTCCACTGGGGCTCTTCCAAAAAAAAAGAGCCCCCGTGAGAAGGCTCACGGGGGCTCTTTTAGTGCTGACGGGGGCTCTTATTTTAAAGGTACTATGTCCCTTTTGCAGCCAACCTCAAATTCTGTAGAACTTTGCAGGAATTATGAATATGTCATGTATGTCCTATCTGTGAAATTTAAACGTTAGCAGTGTCCTCATATTCAAATTATGCAAGGAAACCCGTTTACTGCTAGACTTCACGGTCAGACACTATTGAGCGACTGACTGGCTTTTTTTTCTTCTTTGGTAATAACATACATGAATAGAGTTGTAAAGGGTACATGAGCATTTGTCTACATCAATAAGCCACTTCTTGTGATGACCAAGATTAAACTGATTGAATCTTTGCGCAGCATAAAGCGTATGACCATTCGGTACAATTGTCTGAAAATCAAGACTATTACTTTTGGGCTCTATAGCCCTAAAGTCGATTTGACAACTAATAGTCGTTATTTTCCCACTTGAAGACATTTTAAAGCTCCACCTTTTTTAGGGAAGT